TGGTAAATTACGAGTAAACCTTGGCCATAAAGACCATGACTGAAGGTGGTTTTGCTCAATCACCATCTCGGGACTCGTCTAGGAGCTCACATCCGCACAGCTGCCCGTATGTAGCCCTCCGTTCCTCTCTCTCGCGAGCTCTTCCCACTCTCTCCTGATTTTACAGCTCGGTCAGAACGTGTGATGCATGAGCGTTAGTGAAATTGGAGAAGAATTACTGAGTGAGAGACGGACGAGAGAGACTAGAACATCAGTTAAAGCGGGAAATATAAAATGGAGACAGAGAGAAGAGAGCGGAAAGGCGAGTGAAGAAAGAGACTTAGAGAGAGAGAAAGAGAGAAAGAATAGAGACAAGAGAAAGAGGAGAGAGAGAATTGAGAGCTGCGAAAGTGAGTGAGGCTGAGTGATGAGTAAAGTGGAGTGAGTGAGGTGAGTCGAGTGAGTGAGTGAGTGACAGTGACGTAGCTGTGGTGGTGAGTGAGTGGGTAAGTGGACGCTGAGTGAGTGAGGCTGCAGTGCGATGAGTGCAAGTGAGTGTACAACAGGTGTTGTGTGGTGTGTGTGTGTGTGGTGTGTGTGTGTGTGTGTGTGTGTGTCGTGTCGAGCTGAGGAGAGAGAGAGAGAGAGAGAGAGAGAGAGAGAGAGAGAGAGAGAGAGAATAAGATGCATCCCATCGCGGATCAGAAGCAACATTTGACATCCAGTGGTTGAAGGTAGGCTAGATGGAGAGTGGAGCAGCGTGAGAAAGAATGACATTCACGGCACTGGTGCCCAAGCCTATCCAATTAATATCCATGACATGCGACATGACACATGTAACCTGTTGACAGACTCCTGTAACCGATGACCTCGTACCATTAACATTATTATGTATGAGAATTCATATACATATATATACATCACTTCACACATCTAGCCTCTTGACAGACACGTACAACCATGTATGTTAATACCATTCATATGACCGCTTAGCTAAATATTGTAACTTGTTGTCATACTCCTGTGACCTACTATAAGATGCCATCAGGATTGTCACAATATAGAATATATTATGACATAGTCTATATGACGACACATTCATGATACCATGAACATAAGTGTAAAACATGCTCGTGTTGGTATCCGTAACGTGTCACGTTATACCTATAACGTGTTGACAGACTCATGTAACCTGTTACTTGAGCTCAAGGGGTCAGTGTCGTATCAGGTACTACAGATATGTACCCGAGGTACAACTATGTATACACAAAGTGTACCAGACTTGTACTACAGAAGTGTACCCTAACCCTAACACTAACCCTAACCCTAACCCTAACCCTAACTCTAACCCTAACCCTAACCCTAACCCTAAACATACCTCATGTAAAAATATAAACATAATACTAAACAACCTCAAACTACTTCGGGTACATATCTGTAGTACCTGATACGACAACGACCCCATCTGCGTTACTTGACATGTAACATGTAACCTGTTGACAGCTTCCTGTAAGCTTTCACCTGCAACATGTATAACCTGACTCATGTAACCTGGTAACTGACCTTTTGACAGACTCCTAATACATGCATGGTATATTGTCTCTGTTATCTGCAACATTCACGTAACCTGCGTCGCGTATCTGATGGGTGCAAGTGGAGATTAAAGCCGCACTATATGCGCATCCAAACGCTAATTTCTCCAGTACTAGACTAGCAAATACTTCGTGTCATGCATAATCACACTACCTTATGGCAAAATAAACTCTAGTTCCTCCCATTTCAGTGCGCGTTTGCTTAAAACACACAAGAAAGAGGTGCGAAAACTGGTAATCTGGCGCCAACGCTAGATTGTTTGCCAAACAATTTTGCCAAGAATCGGTTAGGTGACGTCACATGTTTTTATTTTTGCTACACCCGTACCGCTGTACCGCAGCACCGCTCCACGGTTGCTTGGCAGAGCAACGCGAAAGTGTCAACAACATCGGAGAATTTGAACAACATTGGAGGTATTTTCAAATGCCTTTTATAAGACAACGCGCAGTAAAATGGGAGGAACTTTATGGATGAGTTTATTTTGTCATAAGGTAGTGTGATTATGCATGACACGAAGTATTTGCTAGGTACTGGAGAAATTAGCGTTTGGATGCGCATAGTGCGTCTTCGATGGTACTTCACCTGGCGTGTGGTCACCGCTGCCTGCATAACGACCCTCCATGACCTGCTGACGCTCCTTTCATTATTATGCGGGCTATAATTGTATTCACCAGCACGTTCATTATTCAATTTATTGTTTGATAAGCGCCGTCTGTGTTACGATTCGTATAAATACGACTGTTTTCAAACTTTATCGGGGGGGGGGGGCAAGCACGCCACCGGGGAGCGAGGACAAGCACCTCATCACAATGACTACGATTGCGTGAAGGCAATCCGGCGAGTACACAGTACCTGTCAGCGAAAAGTTGGTTTTATAGTGGATCGAAATGAACGGAAGTTACGAGCTATTAATTCCAACACAGGGGGACGCAACTGTCGTGAAAAATCAATTATTTAAATCCACCGCAGTGTGAACGATGGTTATGATAACGTTCAGCTGTTATATGGCTAAATTATTCCCCCACCGATACATAAAATCACGTGCTTATTAAAAAATGTGTAACTCAAGGGCACAGTAACATCTTTGCTAACCACATTGTCCTCACGCTGAAACTGAGTGTTGTATAAGTAAATAAATAAATAAATAAATAAATAAATATAAATATATATATATATATATCAAGAGCTAATAAATACTATTAGCTAGTATTCGTATAATGTTGATATATATATATATATATATGGCCCTAATCGGTACAACAGGCGACCGGTCTCCTTCTGTATTACAGTCGACCAACAAACGTCTGGTAATACGGTAAACCTGGATAACATGCTGAGGTTTTTGCAATCCATCTCGGGATTCTAGAGTGCAATCAGCAGCAGCTTCCGATGTAGCCTCTCCTGATTTTACAGCTCCGGTCAGATTGATGCAATAGCGTTAGAGGAATTGAGAAAGAAATCGAGAGAGACGGAGAGAGAACTAGAACAATTAAGGGAGAGATATAAATGGCGACAGAGAGAGAGAGAGCGAAAGGCGAGCTGAAGAAAGAGATTGAGAGAGAGAGAGAGAGAAAGAAAGAGAAAGAGAAAGAGAGGGAGAGAGAGAATGGAGAGCTGACGAAAGTGAGTGAGTGAGTGAGTGAGTGAGTGAGTGAGTGAGTGAGTGAGTGAGTGAGTGAGTGAGTGAGTGTGTGTGTGTGTGTGTGTGTGTGTGTGTGTGTGTGTGTGTGTGTGTGTGTGTGTGTGTGTGTGTGTGTGTGTGTGAGAGAGAGAGAGAGAGAGAGAGAGAGAGAGAGAGAGGTGTGTGTGTGTGTGTGTGTGTGCGTGCGTGCGTGCGTGCGTGCGTGCGTGTGCGCGTGTGTGTGAGCGCGTGCGTGCCTGCGTGCGTGCGTGTGTGTGTGTGTGTCGACATGTAGTAAGTGCTCCATCACCTGTCAAGTCGCGCTTTATGTCATATTCCATATAGAGCCAGCAGCAGCGTGTGATAGATGATGGTATGTCCTCGCTCTCTGTAATACTTACAACCATTAGCGAAGCTGCGAACCATTAGCGTATTTGAAATGCTAGAACAACGGTAAAGCGCAATCCGCATCGATCAAATTGATATAATTCCCAAAAACCTTTCGCATTCGTTTTTTGTTTTCAGGAAAAAGCGCACGAATCGCAACCGAGCGTACACAATTTGCGCAACGTTTCGCGATAGTAGCACCAGTAATGTAGTAGCCCCCACTTTTCCTCTCTTATGCTACTGTAGATTCCGGGCGTTACATACGTGGGCCACGGAGAAAAACGCATCTAAACAAGCGTATCGGTCTGTAAATGAGTAAACATCGGTCTCATCGTAACCTATTTCTTCGAAGTTTACAAAGAAAATGGCAATTACAGCTGTTATGCCGTCGGGGGAGAAACACGCAGCGGTTTGGATTTTTTGTCGATTTCATCATTTTCCCTCAACTAGACGTTATAATGACTAGTTTTCCCCAGTGTAGCCGACGCGCTGATGAAGTTTCGCTACTGTGTCGGAGACTTTGAAGATCAACTTTCCGCTTTCTTAGTCCGCCACATTGCCGGTGTCATGTGCGGCTTCCGATGGATTAGGAAACGTATACACGAGAGAACGATCTCGTTATTCTTCTGCCGGGACTCATTCAAGTCAAACAATTATATCACTCTGGGGCAATCGTTCTAAGATAGGATTTATGAACTATCGCGGTTCGCACGAATAGGCTAGAACGACCGCAACGATGCCGCGAAAGACGAAAGATAACCCAATTGATTGTGACATCACTTGCGGGCCTTTGTTTGTTACGCGCGCATTCAAACGTGTATGAATGATCGGGGAATGGTATGGCGTGAATGGGGATATTGCGGGTCACTGCTCTACGTTGTGTTGGCAGAGTGAGCAGATATACTGTTAGATGGATGATAAGAATATGAACATATATATGTGGCAACTAAGTCTTGTATCACATACTTTTATCAATAATTAATTAAGAGTTCGATAAAAGTTCAAACTTATATTCTGAAAAATATTTAATATTATCAGGAGCAAATAATAAGTATTACCCCATTACTAGAAAAACATAGGCATAATAGATGATAATAGCTAACTCCCTGCTGCTACTATTACGTAATGTTGACAGGTCCACAGGTCGCGTATACAACATATTATATGCCTTAATCCATCCCTATCTCAGTCATCAGCTCCTTGAAGAATAGCGGCAACGATAGCAACGATAACAACAACAACAACAACAACAACAACAACAACAACAACAACAACAACAACAACAACAACAACAATAATACCGACGACCACGACCAGATAACAACGTCAACAACAACAACGACGACGACGACAACACCAGCAAACATCTTCACATATTCACGCATAACTGTACATACATGCACCTGCGTCTCCTACTCACGTTTGGGTATCGCTCATCGCCGTACAGTAACTCAATGGAGCCGACGGATTTTCGGAACCTGTACGTCACCTCCATCGCGGCGACGCCTGCACCGCCTACTGCACACAGCGATGCGCCGACGACGAGTATATATCCCAGTGAAGGAGCAGAGCAATGAGAGACGACGCGGTAGTCTCAGCGACAGCATGCTGTCTGACTGGCATCACCACGCGATAGCTGCGGCATCGCGCGCACGCGGCTCTCTACAAAAGATGCGGAGCAGCAGCAGCAGCAGCAGCAGCAGCGACGGCAGCAGATAGTGCATGCGGGCGTGCGCCGTGCGCATCCGTCTACAAGCTGCTGGCGGAGAGAAGCTGTCGCGAGCGGCAGCAGCGGCAGCGGCAGCGGCAGCGCTCAATCCGTGAAACGCGAGGCGGCGATCGCGTCCGATGATTACGTGTCGTGAATGGCGACGCTGATGATGACGATATCGCTGTCACGTCGCGAGGGCTTCGCTTGATTATGTTGCTGAAATCCGCCGCAGTTTACGCGGCTGTCCCACATTCACTTCGCTAATGCTCGTCGCGCCAGCAACCGCAATACAACACGCCTGTAGACGTATTCATCGCTGGATATATCAGACGTAGCAAAGTCCAACGCGAAAGCGAATAACCGCGGACAGAGCGCAGCTATAATTAAGCTGCACTTTCGAAGAAGAAGAAGAAAAAATCTGCGACGCCAGTTGCGTTGTTGTTTGCTTTCACCGAACTGTCGAAGAGAGCTCAGGCGGAGATAAGCACCCGCACACATATACACACACCTGCACACGCGCACACACTGCGATAAGGTGACACCCGCGGTAATGGCTACGTCATGTCCCGACGACGCTAGCGACAGTAGTGAGCAAACATTCAGGAAGTCTAGTTTTGCGCGTAGCGCGAAATCGCTCGCGTTTATACCGGACGGTGTACCTTTTGTGGCGCATTGGTCCAGATTCGAGCACGCGCGGGTGTGTGACATGAAAGACATGAAAAGCCACGCCTACACGAGGCCTGCGCGCGCTGTGGCCGCATGGTGGGCGACGAAGGGCACCCTCCACGTGGAGTCAATGCACGGCGTCGCTCGACCGTACCCAGGTAGGGAAATACGCAAACAGGAAAAAGACGATAACGTTTCACGGTGTGATTTTCAATAGCTTGGGCGCGAGTATTATATCGTCTACTGCTGGCTGGTGGAGGGTACACCACGCACGATGTCTTCTGATACCCGATGTGCATACATCTTTCCAGTCGTGCTATTACATGCTTCTCCCTCTCCGTTTCTTCTTCTTCTTCTTCAACTCCGTCACATAGTTTCCCTCTGTCTCCCTGCTTTCTCCTCCTCTATTTCATTTTGTTCGCTTCCGTCCCTCTGCCCGCCCCCATCGCTTCACCCATTCAGCAACCATTCGCCCTTATTCTTTGTCCATTTATATCTTTCTTCAATTGTTCTTCACATCCCCCCAATCTCACTTTTACCGCCCCTCGCCTCCCATATATTTCTTTTAATTTCCCATCTCTTCATCTAGTTTCGCTTTCATCATTTATTCTTCTTTTCTTATCTTGCGTCATCGCTTTCTCTCCCTTTCATCGTATTCTACCCCTCTTAGCGTTCCTCCTGAATAGTTCCATCTTCTACCCTCCTCACCCCAATCCGATTTCTCATTGCCCCTATTTCTGCTCTCCCACCATCTTCCTCTACTTTCCTTATTTAGTTTCCTTCTCATTCTGCCCCTTATTTTTTCCATTCCTTCCTTTCTTCTGCTCCTCCATTCTTCTGCTATCCACCCACCTTTACCCTCCCCATGCATCTCTCCCCACCCCAGCGTCAACTTTCCCCCCTCCTTCCCTATTCCGTCTCTTTTTCTGCAACCTTCTTTCTTTCCTCTTCGCTCTCGCCTTGTCTGAGCGCAGCGTGAGCTCGTTCATCATCTTTCACGTTGCAGAGGCGACTTCGCGAACGACGTCGATGTAGGATGCATTCCGTCACAGCGCGACGGCGACGACGGCCCCGCGTAAATGTGTTTTCTGTGTTGGACGAAGCAAGTGTGTGGGCAGCAAGTGTGGCGACGAAAGCTCTATTATGCTAGAGAAAAAGAGCGAGAAAAAAGAGTGATGGAGTGAGAGAGAAAGAGAGCGAGAGAAAGAGCAAGAGAGAGCAAGCGAGAGCGAGGGCGAAAGCGGGAGAAAGATAGGGGAGATGGGGAAGAATGAAAGGGAAAAAACGAGAAAAAAAGAAAGAGGATGGAGAGGTTGAGAAGGGGAGTGAGAGTAGGTGAGAATAATAGACAGAGAGAGAGAAATGAGTCAATGAGACAGAAGAGAACGCTAGAGAGATGGAGGGAAAAAAGAGAAGAAAGAGAAAGCTAGAGAGATGATGAGAGAGAAAGAGAAGAAAGAGAAAGCCAGGAGAGAGAGAGTAGTTGAGAGATTTATATCTCCATGCCGGTATTGACGGGAGGCCCTGTCGCCGTGTGCAAAAAAATATCAAGTTAATACTCACGATAAAAATTGGCGAGGGTGCGCTTATAGACCGAGATTGCCTCGCATAGAATCGCTATCCCTTACTGCGGCGACTGCAGCAAACAAGTGCGGTGGAACATTAAATATGCTTCTAACATCTAAGTTCGCCGAAGCGAATGATTTTGCGAATGCGAACGGCCGTATCGTTGAATTAAATGTGCCTCCGCACGGCTTACCTAATGCGGATATGACAGTAACTCTATTTCAGCTGTTCTCGTTATGCGACTAGCATCTGCGTACGACGTTGTGGAAGCTGGTGACGCACGTAGACATGCAGAGAAGCCGTTATGAATGCTCCACTACAGCATTAACCCCGCGTGTATGTACACGCTTACATGTCCCCACGTGTATGTGTACACGCTTACCTCCCCGCGTGTATGTACACGCCTACCTCCCCGCGTGTATGTACACGCTTACCTACCCACGTGTATGTACACGCTTACATGTTTCCGCGTGTATGTACACGCTTACATGTTTCCGCGTGTATGTACACGCTTACATGTTTCCGCGTGTATGTACACGCTTACATGTCCCCGCGTGTATGTACACGCTTACCTCCCATCGCGTGTATGTACACGCTTACCTCCCCGCGTGTATGTACACGCTTACCTCCCCACGCGTGTATGTACACGCTTACCTCCCCACGCGTGTATGTACACGCTTACCTCCCCGCGTGTATGTACACGCTTTCCTCCCCCCGCGTGTATGTACACGCTTACCTGCCCACGCGTGTATGTACACGCTTACCTCCCCCCGCGTGTATGTACACGCTTACCTCCCCGCGTGTATGTACACGCTTACCTCCCCGCGTGTATGTACACGCTTACCTCTCCACGCGTGTATGTACACCCTTACCTCCCCACGCGTGTATATACACGCTTACCTCCCCACGCGTGTATGTACACGCTTACCTCCCCCCCGCGTGTATGTACACGCTTTCCTCCCCCCGCGTGTATGTACACGCTTACCTGCCCACGCGTGTATGTACACGCTTACCTCCCCCGCGTGTATATACACGCTTACCTAACCCCGCGTGTATGTACACGCTTACCTACCCTCGCGTATGCACACGCTACCTGCCCGAGCGTGTATGTACCTAAACGCTTACCAGTCCCCGCGTGTATATATACACGCTTACGTTACCCTGCGCACACGTATACGCGCTTACGGCATCTCGCGCGCGTGTACGCGCTTACGTCACCAACCGTATACGTACACGTTTACGCAACAATATTTTCGTCATTCCATTAAACACAGAAACACAGGCTGCGTGCAGGTACACGCGTGCATATATGACTGTCGGTTAATCATCGGAGCCTATACACGGGAAGCTGGGGGCCATTTCGCGCATCGCTGCCGACAGGCAGGAAGCAATTATGCCGGGCAAAATATCATAAAGGCGCACACGCACAGGAACTCCGCTGATTGTACCTGGTGAGCCGTTTAGCTACGCCCCACATTACCAACATAACCGCTCTACACCTATACTGGAGCGAATTTACTACACATAGCATGCTGGCTCTACTGAAATCGGGAAGCGGGAAATTTCGTCTATAACTTACATGTTCTCGCGTCTCGAAATCATTCATGAAATCACATCCGCATTAAAACAAAGGAGGACGGGTTGTAATCATAGGTTTGTGTAATGTATTTTCAAATAAATGCTGCCACGCATAAACACGAGACAGTGAAAGCTATCGGTTGACGTAATAATCGCGCTTGTAGACGAGTCAGACTCGGAATGTTTTAGACAACCATGCATTATGTCAGCAGATGAATAACAAGGATATTATAAAAGTATACGGAAATATTTCCACCACACTAATGAATAAAATTGAATTAATGTAAAACTAATATGCATGACTGGCGGCAGTAAAACCTATCTCGTCACGCAGTGAGTAGATTTATGAATGCAGTAATGAAGAAATGAATAAATAAATAAACCAATAAAGAATAAAGGAGTGAAGAAATAAAGTTAGCTAGGAACCAATAAATCAATAAGTTAATCAATAAATTCACGAACGAACGAACAAACGAACGAATATACGAAGCAAGAAACAAACGAATAAAAGAACGAATAGAAGAATGAAAGAGCGTGCGGGCGAATATACGAACGACTGGTGAAAATATTAATTTGGTATAAGTATTTATTCATAAAAGGCTACAATTTTAAATCCTATTATACATTTGATGCTTTCTGCATGGTATCAATAATCAATTATACATTAAAATATCATGTTTACATATAAGAATAACTATCGACAATTTTCTATCACATATACGCGGATTATTCACTTTCAATCAGAAGTCAAACTCATTCAAACAACAAAATGAGCCGAAATAATTTCAAATAAAGATTCAATAGAATCAGCGATGATTTTCCTTCACGCCAAATCCAGAACTACTGCATAATTTTTCTTAGAAAACTTTATTAAAATGTTATGAAATTTGCATAATCCAATTACGCGAGTACAGCAAGTTGATCGACGTTATTATGTATATTAACGTTTCTGACAGAAGTTTCATTAGCTTGCA